GAGGTATGCTTGGAGAGAAAGGCTATGCAGCAACAGACTCCTTTTTGATCAAGGTTCTGATTTATTTTTTTTATTGATGCAAACATAAAAGCAGAGGGAATGATATAATGAACTTTATTTAATATATCCATCAAATAGATTTACCAGTTTGTTAAAACAATTTTATTTTTTGCTTTTTGCTGTTGTTGCAGCATTTTAAATTCCAGACAACACAATATTTCAACCCTAGATAGTGCAGTAGTCACCTCCAAAAAAGAAGAGCATTTTCTTGTATTACCATAATACCAGTCATCTCCTAATCAAATTGACAGTAATTCCTTATTGTTTTCTAAAACCTAGTCCACAGTCAAATATCCTTGATTGCCTCAGAAATGCACTTATTCTTACTGTTGGTCTGTGTGAATCGGAGTCCAAACATGGGCCAAACGTGGTATTTTGTTGATATCTGTCGTCTTTTTTAATCTAGGACAGGTATGGCAAGCTTTTTCTTAAAAGGGCAAGATGCTAACTCTTAGGTTTTGCAGACCATGTTGCAACTAACTACTCAACTGTCTTGTCCTGCAAAGGTAGCCATAGATGACATGTAAATGAATCAGCGTGGCTGTGTTCCAATAAAATTTCATTTTCAAAGTTTTTTGTTTTAAGCTCCACTGGTGGGCTGGGCCATAGTTTGCTAACCATTGTCTAAAGCAGAGATTTTCAACCAGTATGCCCCAAGAGTTTTTAAAACATGCAATACCTGATTATTTAGTCAGGGGCACCGGCTTCTTTTCCCTTAGACTGTCAAATAAAAAAGTGTCAATAGCCAACACAACAGTTGCCATTCAGTGTGAATGAATCAAAATTATGCCTTTTTTTTTGGTCAGATTGGCAAAAATATATTTTTTGGTGTGCCACAGAATTTTAGTAATTAGCTTATGTGTGCCATGAGATGAAAAAGGTTGAAAATCTCTGGTCTAAAATAGTACCCTTGAGTTTCTTTAATGCCAGTGATTTATTGGTGTCACTTGGTTTTCTGTAGATGCTTCACATTGTGGATTTATGCATCTTTTTGTATCGTATGGTTTAGCTTGCTCCTCTATCCCTTATATTCCGTTAGCTGGAAGTTAGATCTAAAGGTTTAATTAAGTTCAGGTTCACCATTTTTGGCAGAGGTGGTTCTGATTTTTTTAAATAAAATTTATGACCTTAAAAGACTAGGACACCCTCATCCAGGAAGCTCATTTTTTCTGAAGTAGTCTTTGCATGGTGACTGAGAATACACTTTTTCCTTTTTCATCTTATTTTCCTCACTTGAAGAAGAGGGTATAGCTGCTAGTTCACAAGGAGGCTGAGAACTTGAAGCCACTCTGCTAGATCAGTGGGAACTTTTATTTTCTTCAAGGCACCCTGTGGCCCCTCTGGCAGGTGGACCATATTTTCTCATTGAATGAAGTACCTTCCTTCCTTGGGCCCATATCTAGGGCCTAAGGTGCCTTCCAACAGGGGCTGGGTGATTTGTTTCTGTTTTTAAGCCCCTTGTCATGTAAGCAACTTTCTTACCCACCCTCCTCTCCATCCCACGCCCAGCAGGACTGAGAACTGGCTACCTGGTCCATGGGCTGCTTGTCATGCTGTAAGGTAGAAGTACATGTCCTGGTGTCCTGTTTGGAAGGATTCTGAAGTCAAGAGCTTTTCAGACTCAGACTTTCTATGGTTCTGGATTCCAGGGTCACGTGGTATTGAAGAAACAAGCTCACAGGTGAGAATTGTTTTTCCTCCCCTCTATAGTGTTTGTTGATCCTAAATTCTAGAGCACCAGAAAGTATGTTTACAAATGCTGTCAGGCGGGAGTCCTTGTCTTTTTGTCACTTAGGAACAGTAGGGAAAATTGTTCATCTCTGTACCTATTTTTCCAGACAACACACCATTGGGTTGTGGTCTTTTTCTTCATTGATTTGTAAGAATTCTTTATACACTGAGGATGCTAATCTTTCGTCATATAATATGTTACAACTATTTTCCCCATTTTTTAAACTTTGTTTACAGTACTTATGCTCTGCAGAAGATTTTAATTTTATATAGGGGAAAAAAATCAAAACTCATCTTTATCCTTTCCTTGCTTTGTGTTTTGCTTGGAAAGATAATAACCATTTCAGGGTTATTTTTTTTTTTAATTTGCATTAACACAGTAAATGAATATGTGACAAGCGCTAAGAACATGTGATTCTGAAAAAGAATAATATTGAACGGGGCTATTCATACCAAATAATATAATATTAAATTGATTAAATATTAGCATTAAAGTAGGCCCTATGTTGATTAGTGTTGAAGCTGGGTAATGAGTGTTTGGGGGATCATTATTTTTGTATGTATTTGATTTCTCATAATAAAGTTTTCTTTTAAAAAAAAAAAGGGGGGTAGGGGGAAAAACTATCTTTGCTCCATTGGTTCATATTCAGGAACTATTAATTGTCTCTGTGCTAAACAGTGGGAGTATTGTGTTAATAATGTACAAGATCTTGGAGTTTACATTTCTCACTTAGGAGGCAGATACTGTTATGGTTAAGGGGACCAGCTTCTCTGTCAGACTTCCTGGCTTCAAATCCTGGCTGTGCCATTTACTAGCGGGATGATTTTGAACTTTTTAATTTAAAAAAAATGGGCATAACAATCGTGTCTACCTTATAAGGTTGTTGGGTGAATTAAATGAGAAAACCTATGAAAAATTCTTTACGTGGTACTTGGCATTTAGTACACACTCAATACATGTAAACAGTAAAGAAGAGAGTAATTGCAAACAGCAAGGACTCAGGTGGAGAGGTGTTGGTGTTAAAAGTGAATATATGTAGTAGGGGTCATGACCTCATGTGGGTTGGCTAGGTCGGTTCTGGAGATAAGAAATTTGGAAAATCACATTTTTTAATGGACTGAAAGTGCCCTTTGTTGGGGGCAGCAGAGAAAGGGCACAGGCAAAGGCCTAACGACTGGGAGAAGTGCATCTGGTTTTGTATTGAGTTCCTAGGGTTGCTGGATCTCACTACCTGAAATGAAGGCATCAGCGGGGCTGTGTCCCTACCTGGAGGCCCTAGAGGAGAATCTGTTCTTTTGAATTTTCTGCCCACATGCCTTGGCTCATTGGCCCCTTCCCTCCACCTTGAAAGATGCTACATTGCATCCCTTTGACTCTCCAACACAGTCACAGCTCTCTTTGCCCTGAGCCAGGACAGCTTTTCCACTCTTAAGGACTCACATGGTTAGATTGGGCCCATTTGGATAATCCAAGATAATTTCTGCATCTGAAGGCCATTAACTGTAATCACATCTGAAAAATCCCTTGTGCCAGGCTCAGTAACATGTTCTTGAGTTCTGGGGATTAGGACATGGGCATCTGTAGGGAGGGAGGGGGCCTTATTCAGTCGCCTCACCTTGTAATGCAATAGCTGCTGTAGGCTCGGGGCAGCTCTCCAGACATTTGGGGCAGTCAGATACATTACCATCAGGTGCTGATAATTCTGAGAGCCTGTTTCCACTGCTCTTCCACGCCGAGGCGGTGGCTCTGCTCTAGCCTCTTCGGGGCCCTCCTTCCTCAGCATTAGTGAGAGAGACTTCTGAATGGCAGGAGTCATTGGCTCCACATGTGAAATATCGACCTCTGCACCCTGATGGGGCTTTTGCTGCTGCAGTCATTTTACCTTTTAGTTTTTTCTATTATTTTTATCTGTGTAATTGTTTTTGCACTCTAGCCTTAAACTGTGTTGGACTATTTTATTTTTGTTAATCCTCACCTGAGGATGTTTTTTCCATTGATTTTTAGAGAAAGTGGAAGGGAGGGGAAAAGGGGGAGAGAGAGATTGATTGATTGATTGATTGATTGATTGATTGATGTGAGAGAGACACATTGATTGGTTGGCTCCTGCATGTGCGCTGTAACCAGGGCCAGGGATAGAACCGGCAACCCAGGTATGTGCCCTCGACTGGGAATCCAACCCAAGACCCTTCAGTGTGTGGGCCAACACTCTATCCACTGAGCTACACTGGCCAGGCCAGTGTTGGACTGTTTGGAACAAATTATACTAAAATTTTTAGTATTTTCTCATCTATCAATGCTGATTAGATGAGAACCAGGGCTTCCTCATTTTGATTCCCGTAATGCCTTCCACATAGTAGGCAGCCAGTCAGAAAGAGCTCATTTCTGGTTAGTTGGGAGTGTTTTTATAGAATTCTGACATTTTGAGTTATGTCAGAGTAAATTGGAGAGAGACTTCTCATATTATGCTGTACTCTTTTCCGTTTGTTTAGATTACTACATGTGCTTTTTAACTTTTTGAGCATTTATCTCTTCCTCTTGTTGTCATCTGTACTTAGGAGTGTGCAACAGATAAGTTTATGAAAATTATGAATATTTCTACATCTCATGATGGTTTTACTAACCAGTGAGCATTAAACAAGATCTAAAACATTCTTTAAGCCCATTATTTTTTAGTATAATCACAACTGCCTGCTCTGAATAACTCCCTCTCGGTCTGGTTTTCTGTAAAGTTAGATTCAGATTATAAAAGCCTAATGAAAACCATGAGGGGGGATTAGTATATCTTATAAATGAATAAAGAACAGTTAGATGGCATTCTTGGGAGTATTTATGTAGACAAAGTTGCTGTTTTTTCCTCTCTCAGCATTTGATTATAAACACTTGCAGCCATACTGAAAAGTAGAGTACAAAGGACCCTCACCCAGCTATGCGGCCTCAGAAATCCGTGCACCATTCTGGCTTCGCCTTACTTCTTCCGTTCGCCCTTCTCCCCGTCCCTCCCCCCTTTTTTTCTTTTTTGAGTTTTTGCTGGTTTGCCTACTTGAGAATTTTGAAGCGAATACCAGAAATCATATCATTCTACCCCTAAATAGTTTTGTATGAATTTTGTTTAAAAGTTTAGTTTTTACATAACTACAATTCTACCTAACAAGAAACAAAATATCCTTAATACCATCTCATACTGTTTTCAAATTTACCCGGTTGTCTAAAAGAGTCTGTAGTTTATTCAAATCAGGATCAAAACAAAGCCCACTGATTTCTTAAGTGTCTTTTATTAATATAATTGATACTTTTACCTTTTATTTTTAACTCAGTGTTTTAGAGTAGTTGCATACCCTCATTCCTTCATTATTATTATTTGAATTTATATAAAATAAAATTGACCTTTTTATTGTATAATTCTGTGAGTTTTAAAATTGACTCATGTAACCATCATCACTGTATCATCAGAGTCCTGATACAGAGCAGCTCCATCACCAAAAGAAACCCAGGAAACAAAACATAACAAGCTCTCCCTCATTCTGTCCACTTATAGTCAAATCCTCACTCTACCCTTGATTCTTGACCATCCTTGACCTGGTTTCTACCTTTTATAAGCTTTGCCGTTTCCAGAATGTCACATAAATGAAATTATATAGTATGAAACTTTTGAGACTGGCTTTTTTCACTCAGAGAACCTCACTGAGATTCATCCATGTGTGTATCCTTTCTTATTCCTGAATGGTATTCCATTGAATGGACATAACATAGCTTGTGTATCCAATCACTATTGAAGGACATTTGGATTCTTTACAGGTTTTGGTGATTATGAAAAAAGCTGCTGTAGATATTTGTATGTAGGTTTTTATTTCATCAGAAGTTTTCATTTTTCTAGGGCTGGTCCCAGGAGTGGGATGGCTGGGTCATATGGTAAATATCTGTTTAACTTTATAGGAAACTGCCAAACTGTTTTCCAGAGTGGCCGTACCCTATCATTTGTATCCCCACCAGTAATGTATGACAGTTCTCATTGCTCCATATCCTTGTCAGCACTTGATATTGTCAGTTTTTTTAATTTGAGCCATCCTAAAAGGTATGTTGTTTTTAATTATCTGATATCATTTTTTTAGTATTATAAAAATTATTTCTAATAATTCTTGAATAAATTACTGAATTAAACTTACTTTATATATCTGTTATAAAATAAATATTTCTGGTTTTCTGGTGATAGTCTACATTTAAATAATAGTAAATATTCTATATTGGAAAAAATTAAAACCAGAATATGTAGATAGGATTCTTTCTTAAATCTCATCAATTAACATTATATGTGGCAAAGGATTAGAGAATAGTATCTGAGTACATGATGCATTTGCAGTAATTCATTCATTATATGCATCTTATGCATGTCTCATTCCTTTTTTACCATTAGTAACCCATAGTGCCATAATTGCTTTGGCCGTCAATTTTATCCTAGATTAGATTAATTGGTGAATCATGAGTTACAGAATTAGTGGATGTAAGCAGAGAATACTTTCTTTGAATACCTTTTAACTATAGAGAACATTGTTGTTGTTTTACAATGGACTGCTCCCATGTGTCGGAGGCAGCAGTAAAAGCTTGCAGTTGAATAATTTAGGGACCATGGTCACTGGTCACTATTGCTTGAGAGTATGAAGTTGACTGTTGGATTAATTACCAAAACATCATTGCTAATGTTGTCCCTCACACCTTGTATTAGATGAACTCTGAAAGTCTCAGGATGCACAAGGTCATTACTTCGGAAGGTCTGCCTTTATAGTCAAGTCTCACCCACTAACCGGTTGGTACTATTATATTTAAAAACAGTGGGAATTACTGTCATGTAATTGGGAAAGTGGTGTCCATATAGGTTTTATTTTGTGACTAGTTTTTTGCTTGTGAAAAGTTGCTGGAGGGTTAGACTTGTGGAAAGACCTTCCTTTGTAACA